TACCATGATGATACATCATTGTGCTAATTACTATATTATTGAATTATCTTTCCCATCTGTCACTTTTTACCACCTCTATCCAGGTCCATCAACTTTGTCTCTTCATTCTCCAGGTGCATGCCAGGGGTGCCGGGATCTTGGAGCGTGGCCTACTTTCTTCTATGTTTTCCAGTTTTTATTGTCTGTGTGTGGTGAGGGTGTCAGGCATTTTCATTCTATTTTTGTTCAATATTTTTAATATTTTTGTAATAAAATTGGCTTTTCATTCAACCGCGGTTGTTCTCATTGGAGCCCCTATGCCAGTGGATCTCTTTCCCTGGTTTCTCTTGTTTGTTTTGTTCACTAGGAACATACCTCGATGTTGTCAGGCATGCATACAAGCACGTGGGGGCCATACTAACTACTGAGTGCCATTTTGCGTTGCTGCAATGAAATTTCAGCAAAATGGACTAGCCTGCTGCATCATGTTTTCACTTTGATTTTCGGGGTGTCTTTGAATTCAATCCTCTGTAGGTTAATTTTTATTTCCATGAAACGATGGGGCATCTTTGCATTCCTAACACATTTCCCAGTCCATATCAGTATATATATCCATCATGAAATTTTCCCCCATTGAGATCTGATGTGTTTTCAAAATGTTAATTTAATTTTTTTTTGCAGTGTATATAGTGTTTTTTTTTATATAGTGTGCCAAAGGTGAGGATTATTCTGTTTATTTATATAAGTAAGGATTGTAATTTGGGACTGTAGTGATAATAGCATGTATAGAGAGAATTGGAGCGCTGCACTATGTATTGTTTGATTTTTAGTTTTGGGTGTGTGTGAATCACATTTGTTGCAGCTGGTTCTGTGTTACAGGGAGAGGTGTATAATAGCTGCACAAACGGTTTCTTTATTTTTTTATTCTACAAGAGCACTAGTATGGCTACAATCAGCTCTAGCTTCATTTTATGGGAAACTTCCTGCCATTAGTGTCTGTAACCTTAGAACAAACTGCCCTAAGCCCATATTTTGCCCCGATAAGCTCATTATACGTTTTAAGTACCTCTATATGACTGGGAAAGCAAGTTCCACAAAGAAAAATATGCTGTTTAACTGGAATTGATTGTTAAAAAAATCTCTGCATTCAGAAACATGTGAAGACCATTTCTCTTTCAGCACTCTGCTGAGAATGACTGACTGACTTTCTCATGTGTGAACACAGAGGTTGTGCAATCAGCCATATATGGCCAGGACTTCCTTCCACAACCGTCAGCACGTAAAGCCAATACTCATATGTCTTCTCACACCACCTGAACACATCACAAGGAAACAGAAGCCCTCTGTATAAGGCTGCTTAGCTACCACAGCGGATGGATTCCAAATAGGTTTTGCATAATTCCATAAAACTAACTTGCAAGGCTACTTCAAATGAAAAATGTTATGGAATCATAATAATGGAAAAACATAATTGCTGTGTGGAGCTACTAATTGTAATACATACGCCTTGGGGGTGAATTCCTAAAGGCAAATTGGCTGTTCACTTTACAAGGGAATTTTCCTTTAGTGAAGCTCTGCTGGCTTATATCATTAAATCACGTGCAAGCTAAAATACTTTTTTTTTAATTTTTCCTTGCACATGATTGGGTATTCTTTACGAGATGGATTTTTCCACATTCACTAAGCTAAAGGAACATTCCATTACGCAGTGATAATTCATTTGCAAAGTGAACAGTCTGTTTGCCTTTAATAAATCAACTCCATTGCCTCTCTTGTGACCAATTCAAATTGTGTAGGAAATTCAGTTACACGTATAATAATGTCACAAAGTAGAAAGTTATACATTATAACTAAAAATTGTGCTTATTGACAGTGATTATTATAGGGTTATTATGTTGCTACACATTGGCAGGAATATAGATGTGCTAGAATACTGATCTCTGTTTTTTCTGTATGTGATATTTATCTGTCTATCCTATCTATCTATCTATCTATCTATCTATCTATCTATCTAATATGTAAGTAGTATATATAATTATTATTATTTATAAATACGTATTATTTTTATATATCAGTATTATAGTATTCTATCTGAATATGACAGTAATATATATATCTATATATATACACACACACACTATATTGCCAAACGTAATGGGACACCCCTCCAAATCATTGGATTCAGGTGTTCCAATCATCTCCATGGTCACAGGTGTATAAAATCAAGCACCTAGGCATGCAGACTGCTTCTACAAACATTTGTGAAATAATGTTTCGCTCTCAGGAGCTCAGTAAATTTAAGCGTGGTACCGTGATAGGTTGATACCTGTGCAATAAGTCCATCCGTGAAATGTCCTTGCTACTAAATATTCCATGGTCAACTGTTAGTGGTATTATAATAAAGTGGAATCAACTGATAACAACAGCAATGCAGCCACGAAAGTGGTAGACCACGTAAAATGGTATAGCGGGGTCAGCACATGCTGAAGCGCTCAGTGCACAGAAGTCGCCAACTGTCTGCAGAGTCAATAGCTAAAGATCTTGGATGCCGTGGTGTAAGACACACCACCACTAGACTCTAGAGCAGTGGAGATGTGTTCTCTGGAGTGACAAATCACTCTTCTCTGTCTGACAATCTGATGGATGGTTTGGCATTTGCCAGGAGAACGGTATTTGCCTGACTGCACTGTGCCAAGTGTAAAGTTTGGTGGAGGGAGGATTATGATGTGCAGTTGTTTTTCAGGGGTTGGGCTTGGCCCCTTAGTTCCAGTGAACGGAATGTTTAAGGAGTCAGCATACCAAGACATTTTGGACAATTTCATAGTCCCAACTTTGTGGGAACAGTTTGGGGATGACACCAGTGCACAAAGCAAGGTCCATAAAGACACGGATGAGCAAGTTTGGGGTGAAGGAACTTGACTGGCCTGCACAGAGTCCTGACCTCAACCCGATAGAACACCTTTGGGATGAATTAGAGTGGAAACTGTGAGCCAGGTCTTCTCATCCGACATCTGTGCCTGACCTCACAAATGCACTTCTAGAGGAATAGTCTAACATTCCCATAGACACACTCCTAAACCTTGTGGACAGCCTTCCCAGAAGAGTTGAAGCTGTCATAGCTGTAAAGGGTGGGCCAACTCAATATTGAACCCTACGGACTAAGACTGGGATGCCTTTAAATTTCATGTGCGTGTTAGGGCAGGTGTCCCAATACTTTTGGCAATTTTTCTATATGAGTGTATGTATTACATTAATATATAAATATTATGTTGTTATATATAATATATTTATATACAGCACAAGTATTCTAAATATATGCTACTCTATATTTATCTATATGAATTATAGTAGAGAGGGGAACATTACTTTTTTGTAGCTTCATGTGAATGAAGAGTCGCTTTTCTTCTATGTTCTTTTCTTTAATTTTATCAGTAACTTATAATAGCGACTAAGTGACAGGAATTCAATACAGACAATGATTATATTTGTTATTGTAGTGCCATATTACAGTTATTAATCTTTCAAAATATTTATTAGTATTTATTATGTGTAATAAATAAAAATAAATGAAGACTTTCCTGGCTCGGCTCCTACATAAGGATATGATCTATTTATCCACAATTATCTATTCTCCCCTTACCTCTTCCCCCTTCCCCATTTGGGGTTTGTTTTTTTTTGGGGGGGGGGGTTCTCTCTTCGCTCCCCCCCCACACTACACCACTCCACACTCCTTTCTCTGTCCTATTTTTTCAGACTTATCTTTATTCTTCTTTTTGTATACACTCTCATCATTCACTTAGCCCCAACAGAATATAGCATTTATTCTCTTAGAGGCACAACTACTTCAATGTAACTCACATATTCTTAATCCAGATGCACAACACAGGACATACACGCCTTTCAAGGCTACCCTTACCCAACACTTTATACTCCCTCAACATAAGAGCTCACTATTACATGGGTCAGTATCCATTATTATGTATATTACCTCGTCTAGTATACTCTTTATATCTGCAGATATGTAATATGCACTTGTCCTATTGTATTGTCCTAATCTGATTGCACTGTAGTCTACAACTATGACCCATCTGCGATACGGGAGACTGTCTACTGTGTCTATGCTTGGACTGCGATCCGTAGTTGTATATGCCTTGATATGCCCTTTTTTCCTCTAATAAATATTTTTTGGAAAAAAAAAAAAAAACAAAAAACTGGTTGTAATATAAGGGCAAATGAAAAATCCATCTCCCATGACAATCTTTCCATGGTCAGGATAAACAGAAGACAAGCTTGCAGCATGAACACAGCACAGTGGCTAAGTGGTTAGCACTTCCACCTGGCAGTATTAGGGTCATTGGTTCGAATTTCAACCAATCTGGCTGGAGTGTGCATGTTTCCCTGTGCCTGGGTGGGTTTCCTCCAGGTACTTCAGTTTCCTCCCACACTCCAAAGACATGCTAAATTGTCCCTAGTATGTGTAGGAATGAATGTGAGTTAGGCACTTTACATTGTACACCCCTTGAGGGATAGGGACTGATGTGAATATATATATATAAAAGCGCTGTGTAAATTGACAGCACTATATAAGTACCTGTAATAAATGAACAAATATGAGGCTGCATATGATCAGCTTACAATAAGCAGCTACAAAGGGCTCGGTGCATTTTGCAATTACAACTAAGGAAGCTACAGATGTTTGATTGTTGTATTACAAGACATGCAAGGAGTCTGCCTGTGCGTAGCGCCCTCTAGCGACCAATGAGGACGTGATGGAGAGGAGATTCCTTTCCACATTCTGGGCTGCCTCACTTTGGGAGTGGACTCTGGATTGCGTCAGCAGCGCTTTATTGTAAGAATATAAGGCGAGACAGGGGCACTCAGCTTCACTACACACGTGCAGAGTTCAGGAGGAGCCGGGATCCAGCACTAGACGTCTGCTACTACCTCCAGCACAGACTATTGATTCATCATTCCTGAGGACGGAGCAATGCACTCTTCACCTTCTGCTACAATGACTCTTCTCGGAATCTTCTGCTGCTCCCTGCTGGCTTCCACTATTGCAGGTATGGAAAGCTGAATCTTCCCCAAATCTACCACTTTATAGAAACCTAAAGCTTTCTTTAGCCTTTTCATTACCTTTAGGATTAATAGCAAAAACAAGTTTTTTTTTGTGTGATTTGTATTGCTATTAAGTTATCCAGTTTAGTTTGCATATATATATGCATAAAATATTTTTTTACAGTTCAGTCTGAATCTATCTATGTATATTATGTATATATATATATATATATATATATATATATATATATATATATATATATATGATTTTTTTACCGTTCTGTTTAAATATATATATTTGTTATTGATTATTGTTATTATTATTACATTTTAAGAATTTTAGTTTGACTATATTTATTCATCCTATTATAGCTATTTCATATTTTTTTTACCAGTTCAGTTTGGAATAAAGTTAATAAAAATATTAATATTCTATTCTATATATATATATATATATATATATATATTTTTTTTTTTTTTTGACCAGTTTAGTCTATAAAAAAAAGTTAAACAATTGGTGTTCTTTTCTAGCCCAGTGTATAAACTAATACATTGGTGTTCTTTTCTAGCAAGTCCATGCTGCTCTAACCCATGTCAGAACCGGGGGGTATGCATGACTGTTGGCTTTGACCACTATGAGTGTGATTGCACAAGGACAGGATACTATGGAGAAAACTGTACCACACGTAAGTGTTTCAAAATATCCTCCTTTATATGACATTAATGTCATTGCTTAATCAGATGCTAAAGGGTCTTCTTTCTGCTTTCAACAGCTGAATTTTCAACGTGGCTGAGAGTTACCTTAAAGCCTTCACCCAATACTGTGCACTACATCTTAACTCACTTTAAAGGCGTTTGGAATATAATCAATAACATCTCCTTTCTACGAGATGCAATCATGCGTTATGTGTTAACATGTAAGTACCTTATGTAGGTGTTCTTATCAATGTTACATTCCATATTATGAGAAACATTTCATGGGAAATTCCAGTCTGCCTTATATATTGTGACATCTAGAAGGAATTTATAGAGTGATAGGCAGAGGAAATTGTGCCAGGCTATGTACTGTAATAAATGATAGCATGCCAAAGGAGTATAATAATTGGTAGCCTTGTTTAAAATGATATGTAATTTTCTGGTAAAGGGAATAGCTTGGGCCACTAAAAGACTCAATTATGGTCTGCAGTGGTGTTTATAGGATGATGTTTTCAAATGACTTTAGCAAACAGTAAAATGTAAAATCATGTTGGTTATCAAATCATTTTAAGTTATATATATTCATTAGTCGTATACACTTAATTTTGGTCTTGTGCTTTAGTTGGGCATAAAAACTACCTAAAAAAGGTTGCAACAGAAATTTGTGAGGTATATAAGAAACCAGCAGTAACCCAAAACTTGGAGTTGGCTTTCAGCTTTTATAGACCTCACGACCAAATTTCAAAACAGAAATCACGATGAGCATGATAATTATACATATGGATTTAAATTTACTTGTACTATATATTTGGAATTCTTTATAAAATTCCTCCTTATTTTCCTATATAGCACGCTCTCATCTGATCGACAGTCCTCCTACATACAACAGCCATTATGCCTACAAAAACTGGGAAGCATATTCCAATGTTTCATACTACACTCGAGCACTGCCACCAGTGGAAGAAGATTGCCCAACCCCAATGGGTGTGAAAGGTAAAACATTTATAGAATATCAGTTCAGTATACTTAGTATGAAATTTTGTTTGTCCAGAAAACTAAAGAAAGCCTACTAGTGAGCCACAGCATGTACATCTGGAATACAGCATGTAATGGAGGTATAAGCAGACAATAGCAAACCACAGTTTGATATTTGCAGTAGATAAGAAGGTAACTGTAGGCACACAGCATGCATGAAAGCTAAAGTATATCTGAAGCCAAAACTTTGTTTTTAGTTGTTTTGGATAAAGTAGGCAAGGATTAGAATGCCTATTAGGTTTGTATTGCTGTCTGTGTTCCTGACAGGGAAATGTACCCTCTCTGGTCGTCCTAGTAACTATTGTCACTAAGACTATAAGTGAGAAAAAAGCCAAAATTTCCAGCAATCGGAAGCGGAATAGTGGAGAAATCTTCCAGTGGGTATACTTGTACCAGTGAAAACTTTCAAAGAGGATTGGACCTAATTTTGGAGAGATATATCCTCACTTCCTGTGGTGTCTATATGACAAGAAGTAATGGGAAATCCCCCCCAATGGGACACACAGAAAAAGCCACTCTTTTTCATCCAAAATAAGAAAATGTTGGCTTTAGATAGACTTTCATGATGAATAGTTTCCATGTGACATTTGAAAGTTTACAGTTCTGTATGCTCATTGTTGCTGTAGGCATGGTCCAAAGCTATAACTTTCTGCTAAAGTTGATGAATACACAATAATGAAGGATTTTGAGGTTCCCATTAGATAGACAGTAACTGTTTAGTTATTCAAATAAAAAAAAAACTGTTGGTAATGCTTATTATTTATCTGTAACACATTTCTACTCCTTTCATTATAGGAAAGAAAGAACTGCCAAGTGTCAAACAGGTTGTAGAAAAATTGTTAGTTAGAAGAAAGTTCATTCCTGACCCACAAGGAACTAATGTGATGTTTGCATTCTTTGCCCAACACTTTACACACCAATTCTTTAAGACTGATGTCAAAAGAGGAGCTGCCTTCACTAAAGCACTTGGGCATGGGGTAAGATCAAATACCTGCTCCATTGTATTACATTTATAAAATAATGTTTAATTTACTTGAATCTCTCCAGATATGTATGGATCTTAATATGTGCTTTGTATTATTTAAATAGGTTGATTTTAAACCACGTCTATGGGGAATCTTTGGACAGACAGCACAAATTACGTCTAAAAAAGAATGGAAAATTAAAATTCCAGGTATATATGGTTCTTCATTACTTGGAGATATAATTATGTAGGGCACTAACAAGGTATTATCTGACAGACATAATGAATTAATATACATTTTTTTTTATTTCAATAGATTATTGATGGCGAGATGTACCCTCCAACAATGAATGACACAGAAGTTGAAATGCTTTACCCTCCACATGTGCCAGAACATCTTCGTTTTGCAGTTGGACAGGAGGTTTTTGGCCTTGTACCAGGGTTGATGATGTATGCTACCATATGGCTAAGGGAACACAACAGAGTCTGTGATATACTGATGCAGGAGCACCCTGAGTGGGATGATGAACGTATATATCAAACTGCAAAACTTATTTTGATTGGTGAGTACACTTTGATACAGAAATAATTTTTTTTTCAGAAAAAAATAGGAACAAGGGACGCATATTTAACTTCTTAATTTGGTACCACAATGGAGATATCAGCTTGATACTGGATATTTAAACAAGCTGCTTGTTTTTCTTAATGGGACTATAGTAGCAAGATCTCATGAGTTCTTACATCTAAAAAAAAGCACAAAGTGTTGAGGGCTTCCCACTTTCTATGTTGGGTTTTTTATTGTATATTTTAGAGAATTGGAAATGCCCCAAATATTGGCAGGTACACAACTCCTGGGCCAAGAAATCCAAGAAATTAGCAAGTTACCTAGACCCCAAGACTGAAATGGAACTTTTGGAAGGGTTGTCTCTTCTTAGTCTATGTCTTAATGTTCACCGTAGAGGTTGGACTTTCATACCAACTGAATATAAAATGTTTTAAGGCTTTTTGGTAAAGAAACACTAAATTTACAGTGTAACTTTAATCAGGGAGATATTCTACAATAAAATATATTTTTATATTTAGTGGTTAGTTGTACTAATAACAATAGCAGTAGCAATTATATTGTCATTTTTTAAGTTTAAATTGGACTATACTGTATATTTTTTTGTATTGTAATATCCAGATAATTGTGTGAGCTAATTAAGCTTCACTTGCTACAAATGGGCCATACAGATGTGCAGTAAGCAACACAGCTGGGAGACATTGATGCTACATAGGCAGTTTTCAACTTGTTCTTGAAATATGGTCAGCTTATTCTTTAAAGGCAAATCATTTTCTCACTTTTGAACCTGTGTTCTGAAGTCTTAATACCTGCCTCTCTATATCTACTCCTAGTAACACAATTATTTTTTTTCTAGGTGAAACCATCAAAATTGTCATTGAAGATTATGTGCAGCACCTGAGTGGTTATCATTTTAAACTTAAATTTGACCCAGAGTTGTTGTTCAACCAGAGATTCCAGTACCAGAATCGAATTGCTGCTGAGTTCAACACACTTTATCATTGGCACCCTCTTTTGCCAGATGCTTTCCAGATAAATGGCCAAGAGTACAGCTATCAACAGTTCCTGTATAACAATAGTGTGATGTTGGAACATGGAATATCCCACATGGTTGAATCATTTACCAAACAACAGGCAGGAAGGGTAAGATTTTTTCAGTTCTTGTTAGTAGCTTGAGGGTTATGGGACAAGTTTTGATGAAAATACTGTCAAGTCTACTGCTACATTATGATCTGAACATTTAACCTCTTGACACCAGCCGCATTCATACATGCGGCCGCTTGGCTTGTGGGCCTTAAATATATGCAGCCCTGTTAAAATTACTTACTGTGCTGAGAGCGTGCTTCCTACAAGCTCCCAGCATGGTAGCTAGTGGTGATCGGTAAGATCCCCATGCATACTTGCAGTTGGGAGTTTTCTGATAATGTGACCGCTGTGACAGCTAATCACAGCGGTCACATGACTCGAAGACCCACCTCCACCTGCTGGCTTTTAGAACCATTAAAGCATCAAACCAGCAGACATTCCAGGTTGCCTCTTAGGAAATTCTGTGACAATGGAATTCCTAAGAAATACACACACACACACCGATAGAAGCATTAGCTATAATCATATCTCCTGGTTATCTCTGATATGTAGATATGTAGAAAGCAAATAGTAATAAAATAGATGAAAACGTCAAAATTGTCCAGTTGACTTTCCATCCAACTTTGGTATCATTGGTTTAGGGTTAGTTTAAGGATACTGAAATAGAATTAAATGGCATAATCTCAAACATAATAGAGCACATATATTTTATTATATAGAAATAAAAGTCTGATTAGTGCTAGATAACACTTTTATTCAGAAGTATTACTTACAAATATTGAAAATCTGCCTTGCTTAAGTCTTGGCTTTAATTTGATCCCTGACCTTACTTTTTTTTTCCCTGCTTATAGGTGGCTGGAGGCAGAAACTTCCCTGCAGCAATTTCCAGAGTAGCCATGGCTTCCATACAGCAAAGCCGAGAGATGAAATACCAGTCACTCAATGAATACAGAAAGCGGTTTACTCTAAAGCCTTTTAAATCGTTTGAAGAGCTGACAGGTATGACATGTTCTTCAGTTATTGCTGCTAAAGAAATTCAGTAAATAGGGTTAAATGTGTAGTTGAATTTGTGTTATTTTGAAAAGTTACAAGGAGTGCAAGTTCTTATCAAACATAATTGTTAACAAGTGACAGCATGTAGGGAAAACAATAAATAGACGCACATAAGAGATTACAAAGTACAGCTTCTGTACAAATTAACATTGTGTTTACCAATCATTTGTCTCTGCTATTCTTCTGTATGTAAAACTGGCTCATACTTTGCCGTCATTTCAAGGAATACATTCAGATCTAAATTTCCTTGAAAACAATGAATGAGCAATAACTTATCCCAAGACCATACAAACCCATAGATAACTACACAGTTACAAATGTAAAACCATATAAGCCCAAGTAAAAGGGAAAATGATGCTGTAATGCACAAAATATTGCAACACCCTGACTTGCAAATATACATTTTCCATCAGTTTCATTCCCACATGCTTAAAGATTTATTCCAAAATCCTTGGTGCTATAAGAATGTGAATGTGAGGCAACTGTTTTAGAAGATAATACTTTAGCAGTGGTTTGTTAGCTTGATTCGAAACCTGAAGATCAATTGAAAATACTTCTGATCCACAAGCTACAGATACTTTAGCATACAGAGAGAGATTTGGAGATGAAAAGTCAGTATACTGGAGGTGAAAGTAATATTGAGATAAGTGCCTGACGTCATGGTGACAACCTCTCTTGAATACCCCACAGCCTTCAATGGCTGTTAGATAAAGCAATAAACTGGACTAGGGAACACAGATATGTTGTTACATGCCTTATATATGGTAACCTCTCAAATCATGTTTGGGATTATTATCAGTGACTACGTCATGGGAGGCACCTTGGGATTAGTGTCCCTTTCACATCATGTTTGTGTAGAGTACATCCTTTCAGTAAGACAAATGCTGTGCGATTTATAAGGAACAATGACAAAGATTATGTTGCATCTTTTGTGAATATATGGTCTATTCTAACTGTAGTTTTGGTGAAAAACCAGATTAACAAGACTATGGACAGAAAGCTGCTTTAGGGCAAAATATAATACTCTGAGTAGTTCTATTTACTGTGGACAAGGGCTTACGTTCAGCTCCAGTGAAAACCAGTTTTGGATATGGCAAAAAAAGGTGTTTGTTCTGCTGACACCTCTCAGATAGAAAGGGGAACCTTTTCCAAAATGGGGACATAGACAGCAATACAAATACAACTGAAGCTCTAACTCTTGCACAAACTGAAAAAATAATCTTGGCAGGAGTCAGGTTTTATCAAAGCCTTACTCTGGAATTTAAGTCCAATTTATTAATATTTATATGATTTTTTTTTAAAAGTTTTTTGTTTTATGTTTTATAGGAGAAAAAGAACTGGCTGCAGAACTTGAAGAACTCTATGGAGACGTTGATGCTGTAGAATTCTACACTGGTCTTTTGGTGGAACAACCCCGTCCTGGGGCCATTTTTGGAGAGACCATGGTTGAAATTGGTGCTCCATTTTCATTGAAAGGCCTTATGGGTAACCCAATTTGCGCTCCTGAATACTGGAAACCAAGTACATTTGGTGGAAGAGTGGGCTTTGATATTGTAAATAGTGCCTCTTTACAAAAACTCATCTGCAACAATGTTAAAGAATGTCCCTTTACTGCGTTTAATATATTTAAAAGCAAGACTGCTGAAACAAGAATGAACACAAGTTCTAACTCTGCACTGGATGATGTTAACCCAACTTTACTACTGAAAGAACACTCCTCAGAGCTGTAATAAAACACTGCTGAAGATTCCCAAGAAATTAGGCCATCAAATGAAGCTTGTTACCGATGTACAGAACCTCTGTTCCTAAAGCATTATCTATTATTTTAAATATTCTGCCTAGGTGGTTAACAGTTTTTACTTTTATTTGTTTTTAATATTATGTATTGATATTGCTGCAAACTTGAACTGCTGGGCAAATATTTTGATGTGTTACCCCTTTCCTGTTTTTCCTGCTTGTCTAAATAGATAATTTGTGGTAGCCCAACTATAATACCTTCTGGCAGGAAATAAGAGATGGTGGATACATTCTGACATCAATGGGCTTTATTAATGGCATACAATGAGCTAGTAAAAATTGAAAAGCATCATTATTTATTAGCATGGTTTCACTAAACTGCTGTAAGCTGGTTTCTGATTGGTTGCTTGTACATGCATTTTTTTGCATGTTGTTAAAAGAAGTCCTTATAACACAAGCATTTGAGCACACAGATGTGTTTTTCAACCATATCAGTCAATGAAGTATGAGCTTACAATGGTTTCATGAAATTAGACTGTTGAGAAAAGACATTTCTATGTCTTGGTTACTGTGCACCTAAACAGTTTTCATCTTGGTGTTAACTATAGCCCAGTCATATATATGTTTAATGACGCAAGCTGTAAATGTTGATGTTGGGATGTATGGGAAACTTCAGTCATAGGGTGATTTTGACACTTTATGCTGCTACACTACTTGAATTGTTATTGCTGCTCAGGATTTCAAGTTGCCCAACATGACACTGTATGATGTACTTGTCTATTCCTTTTTATACATCAGATGAGGTAGGATGAATGCAGTCTAAATGTATAAGTGATTTAACTATTACTTGAACTCACATAGGGCTTTTATATAGAATCAAATCATATAGCAATACCTATCAAAATTATTTTTTTACAACTGATTGAATGTAGCAAAACATATCTTTTGAGTGATATGCCATTAAAAGCATCATCGTTTTTTTTCTTGTTGCTTGTTATTCACGTTTGATGTCAATAAGGGCATATTCCAAAGTTGTGTTGAAAGAAATGATAACTGGTTGTTTCCAGGGCTTGTATACCATACCCATTTATAATGGTCCAATGCCATTATATAGCTGGAACTACTTACTTGCCCTTGTAACCAATAAACTGTGTGTTCTGTGTGTTATACCTGTCCTTGTCAAAACATGCCTTAATACTGTATTTATGTAAACTAAAATGGGTTGAAATGTTAACAATTATTTATTTATATTATTTGAGATATAAAATATTTATGGAATTTGCACTGAACCTAAAGCCTATATGATGCAAAATAACAGCCTTTATGGGTATATCCCAACACATTTAAGCCAGGATTTTAAATGTCTATGTTGAAGGTACCCACATTATATTTCTAAGTTAGCAGAGCTGGGACTCTGAATATTTTATACATGCCAAAGGAGAGTAGAACTCATATTGTTATGAAATTTGAACTTTTAAGGTTATGTTATTTATACTAAGTTATTTTAATGTTTTGAAGTACTTTTTTACATTTATTTTTGTAATTTATTTATTACAATTTAAAATAAATTGTATTATTACATTTTCATTGTCTGTTTGTTTTATATCATGTCCTTATTAGCGTTAAGAATATGCCAGGATACTGATATAGGAGGTCTCATTGCTGACATGTTTTTAAGGTGCATGCTAATGTGGCTATCACCCTTATCCTTGCTGAACTAATAGGTCATTAGCCTAGAATGAACCTATTCATATAAGGACACCCATATGTACACACGTGTTCTGGGACAGTGATTCACTATTATTGCTAAAAAGATATGAAGAGTAGCCTTGGAGGTTGCATGTTCAAAACAAGTCAAGGAGGTATGTATGTGAAGATATCAGGGATGGCTTCTGATTAAAAATGCAAGCATGCTAATTTTTTGATACTTTCATACTTTATATACATAATGACAACTTGTTCCCAAAGTCAAACGTCTCATTGACAAGTTGGGTAGACAATGCTTCATATTAGACATTCAGTCTACCAACAGAAAGGAAAGTTTACAACACACCACTAAAACTTTGTAAACGATATTCCCATATTTTGGTAAGAGATTCAATCTAACCCCCTCTTCCTTCCATAAATTAGCCTGGGCCATTAGCAGCAGATACTAGCCCATGTTCCTATTACTCATACAGCACAGCATGCAGAGCTAGCTACTATCACCATTCTACTGGTCATTTTGTACACATACTGTGGCCCCTAACATTGTAAAACAGGCAGCCAAAAGTCACTTTAATAAATATAATAGAAACAAATGTTAAAAGTGTTACTAAACCCAGGGCCCTGCAATCACTATATCTGGTCTCCCACAGTACACAGAACAATTAGAAATGCAAATATTTTAGTAAATATATTTAGTAAACGGGAAGTGCATGCTGGGTAGCCAGCTGCATGAACAATTTCCCAGAAGAATGTCTGACCGGTCTTCAGGTGTCCACACTTAAGATGGCATCGTTCACAATATGAGGGTGCAGTAAGTAATTTTATTTTTTATAAGGAAAGCAAAGGATTACAAGTACAGGTGATCTCAACTTGCATTGCCTAAGCTGCCAATCTCACGTGGGTGCCTTTAGAAAAAAAATAATTAAACACCTGGAACTCCGCTGTCAGGAGCTTTCGGCATTTTTTTTTGCCAAAGCCCCTGAACTCAATCTAATAAAAGAGCTATAAAAACATACAGAGAAGAAAAACTGACTTTTTAAGCACCAAAACTACAAAAGAAAAAAAGATCATATATATATATATATATATATATATATATATATATATATAAAAATACAAATGTATTGAACATAGTACATCAATGAAAAAAACATAGACACAAAAGATAATTTTGATGTGGATGACGATGATTAGGCTATATATCACCAAAGAGAAAACCCCCCAACACGTTTCCAATTCACTGAATTTATAATTTGAATCTTCTTCAGGGAGAAAGGTGAGATGCCATGAACAGTATTATCGCCATTCATAGAAACAGAAATTCAAAGGATCCTTTATGGTTAATTCCAGGCATCGTCTATGCAAACAGATCCCTCAGTGGTCCAACTGAGTGAAGGAATGATAACATTCTCTAATGGAGGTCAATAGGGAATTGATAACACCCGTCTATCAAGCATTTAGATCAACCCAGACATCTGGACTCGATCACTGATGAGCTTCCCCTGTATGAGGTATCAAAGTGTGGAACCAACAAAATGCTTCCACAAATGGTCTCTCACCTGCAAGTGGGAGCTTTAGCTGTGGTGGTTCTCTTGGGCTGTCTCCATCTTGGTATAAGATAGAGAGACCATTTTTGGAAACATTTTGTTGGTTCCAACAAAATCTAATAAAATAATTTTATCAGAGTTTAACAGCAGTAGAGTTTAGGGGCAGTTAAACGTCCCTCTCCTGAATGCAGAAGAATTGAATTCAGGAGAAGAAAAATGCAAAACGTGGCAACAACGCATGTAAACACGCCGAAGCCCTAATCGCGTTTAGCGCTTGGGTGTTTATTGATTTCAGTAACAAGTACACCCAAGTGCTAAACGTGGCTAAACATGGCTAAATGTGGTACTGTGTTTACATGCCTTTTTGCCATGGTTAGTTTTTGTGATGCCAGTAGAAAAATGTTCCAGTGTACATGGAGTCTTATTGTTGTGCACTGTGTGTTGTTTTATTAAGGGATGTGGCAGTGTTTATTCCATGCTTTGCAGGGAGGCAAAAACCGGCACATCCCTGCTGTCAGGAGAGAGCTTTGTGTTGTTTACATACATACTGTAGATCCCTCTTCTGTCATTTGCTCCACTGATCAGCTCGTCCCGGCCACAAACCATTGACCAGGACCTAGTGATCGACGTGTAAGGGAGCCAGTGACAGCCCTGCCGGGTTGGCCAGCGTGCGCGCAGGCCCTCCCCTACCCTGAAGAGCAGAATCACGTATACATACGTGATTCTGTGCAGCCGGCCCTTACTATAGCAGTAAAACTGTAGTGTGCGGTTAGCAAGTGGTTAATAAATATAATAGAGACAAAGGTAACTGAAAAAAATTGTGCATCCTGCAACTTAGGCCCAGGGGCGGACTGACCATTTGGAAACTCAGGCACTGCCCGAGGGCCCAGGGTCAGTAGGGGGCCCCATGAGATGCCCCTGGTACCTTTTTCATAGGCTTTTTTGAGTTTGGGCAAGGACACAAGGGCCCCATGATCCCCTACTGCCCGGGGGCCCCATGAATTGTCAGTCCGCCCGTGCTTAGGCCTATTCATAGAAAGGAAATTGCTTGTTAGAATGCACAATAGTATATACTGTATTGTATAGTTACAGTCTAGCTGTATGAGCTATCATTTTTTTCAGTTTTGAATAAAGTTGTGAGGACTTAGAACTGTTGTCAGTTGTTTTGCTGTCTGTGTCCTTGGGAAGGAGAAAACATGATTTCCATTTCTTTCAAGTGTTTTTATTGGACATACCCCTTTCTCACCTCATATCTTTGCGGACATGATTACTGAAAGAACTCCTCTCTTATGAAGCCATAGACAGAATTAAAAACATCTCTTCTCAACCCGTCCCCACTTTAATGTTTGCGTGACTCACATGAGCTTAAAAGTATTCATAAACATTTGAAAGGTTGAAACAATGACTGGATTAGCAAATATTTGTTCACTAGGTCTATGCATTAGGAATTGGTGAAGTGATTTTGGTGAATTTATTTTCACTGTGAGACTGTCAAGGACTCGGAGAACTCAGAGAAGTCCAAATTCACTCACATTTTACAGAATGACTGTAATGGACAGGGCTTTCATTAGCTTCCAATTTTAATTCTGCACTATTATCTCTTACATCCAAACAGAAAAGTCTCTACACCACTCAATTATAATACTCAAAGATATCACTTTTACAGCTCTCTCTCTCCTAGTACCTTTCAATCCTTGTACACGAGATCTTTCATGGTGCTTGGAAATAAATAATCCACA